GCTCATTTGTGAATAAAGAATAATAACACCTCGCGTTTGCTCAACAAAAATACGAAGAATTACTTGATCAATGCCGAGGTCAATGGAAAGTCGGTCGTGGGAGTTACTGAAAGATGTTCCTAGAATGTCTACGTAACGTGTTTCCTAACAATGCATACATGATGGAACACTTCGACGTTTCCGCGCTTTACGCCAACATCGACTGACTCCGCATGCAGGCTATCCCCGAACTTATCGTTGAACGAGAAGGAGAAATAGATATACATGGCTTGTCTATTCACGAGCTTATAGCTCTCTTAAAAGAGCGACTAAACTGCTCGATTTTCAGATTGTCTGGGAACTACTATGCGCAAATGAGAGGGATGGCAATGGGTCAGCTGCTGGCATCAAGTCTCGCCATTGCGTTTATGTCTAAAATTTTTTCTATTTTGATATGACTCGTATTCACGTCTGCTATGCGGATTCCAACACTTTTCACATTCAATTCGTTTCCCTACATCCATTATCCACAAAGATCTTACAACATTTGCGTGTGGCTTCGCCTAATGCTTGAGGATTTTCATTTCATCATAAATATCGTAAAATGCTGGTCGAGTCGTTTATCACTGGACTCTTGAGATAGCCGGGCTGGAGCGTTCCCGATTGGATTGCAGATAGTGATTTTTTCCCGGATAAGTCCAGTACCAATTTTCCGACTCCTCAAGGATGAGAGGTATGGTTGGCCTAGGGCGAATCGAACTAGCACCACTCTCGGGATGATCGACATCACTGCCACTCTGCTATTCGCTCTATTATGTCTAGGTCTAAAATAGAAGCCCCCATTATCGAACTACGGCTGCTACTCTAATGTAGATACACAGACGATCGTTTTATCATCTTCTCTACTCAGCAGGAGATGCACAAATGCTTTGAGTTATTGATTGAGCAGTCAGAATACATCAAATTCACTCGGAGAAGCCTTAAGAAAGTTGGCTGCCATTTTTTAACGTTCAAATTAACTTATCAGATAACGGCTACATGACGAAGTGGTAGCGAAAACTAAGTAGTAAGAACAACCTTATTCATTTCCTCTTTTACCACCCTTCGCACATAGAAGGCGACTATGAGAAACATGTTTCGAACAGCCACCTCTATGTGCACGACTCGGGAACAAAAAGACGAATAGCGCGACTTAGCTCGGTAAATAACCACTGGAGATAGCTACGAAATAGTAACTCCACGAAATAAGTTTACATAGAAAGCGACTCCTAAAACAGAAGATTTAGCATGAAGAAAGCCTCGTTTAGGTTGCTCTTTATTGTCGATGAACTAAGTGTCGCTATAAATCGATGCTTAAGAGTGAAAGGTTAAAAGGTATAGCGTGAGATAGTAGAAATACTGCGGGACACTCTTCGTCGTCAATTAGTTCGTTACCGCCTGTATGACCGTCTATGTGAAACGCGGAATTGCCTAATTTATTCTTAAGGCAGGGACAGTGACTGTATGAATTCAGATGCGATATACCTGGCCTTTTGTAATACTTGCAAAAATGAACGTGTTGGCGAAACGCGGATGCCATTATTCGTCCGTATAGAACACCTAGATGGCAAACGAAATGCAAGACAAAGTACTCAACTAGGGACGCACAGAGATTGAAGCAGTCATGGAAGACAACTAGGAAGTCCCTACTCAGTAAATAGTGGTTCTTTTTGAACTATTTAAAATTTTGAAATTCGGAATATCACCATTCTACAACGATATCAAAATCGATATCAAAAGAGGAGTACGTCGTGTAAACACTAGAATGAGAACAGCATCTTAACTTTGCTGGTAACATTCTTCGTATAACACCGGCGATTACGCAACTGAAACGAACGCTTGCGGCATTTGATAAAGCCTGTGGATATATTAGTCTTGGACTAAATCTCAGAAAAAAGAAACGATATTCATGAGGAACGCACTGGTTACGTGTACCATATTTAATCTAGACGGAATGAACATCTCCGAATACTCCAGTACGTCTGTGGAGAATTTAAACATAATGAACCACTTAGTCCAGAGTTGATCAGGAAGAGGTAAACGACTGGGATTGCCTAGAGGATGTAGCGAAGAGAAGAAAGAATACCTGACACCGTGCCAGCATCTTCAATTTCATCTTTTCTCTTTTCTTTTTTAACGTGTCAGAAACCTGGTTGCTAGGTAAGCAGAATGAAAGATTACCCAGCGTTATAGGACGTGCAGTCGAAAAGACGATACGGCATATCCTGTGTCACGCAAGTGAGGAAAGCGATCCGAAACTCCGATTTAGATCAGTGATCAAAAATGGAGAAGCCGTTTTATACCCCAAGCTGTCGAAGATAAGGTGGTTCGAGCATTAATTCGCATTGTCGACACCCGATGGCGAAGAGCCGTTAGTGACTGGATTCTCCGGGATGTCAAACGCACAGCAAGGAGATCACTGACCACATGGCCAAAATTCATTAAAGCCCTAAAAGAAGGATACGATACTCAACAAGTCCCTAGAACAAGAAGAACACACTAGACAACTCTTCCATAAGCCAGGGAAAAATGGAAGATTTGCTGGGGCCTGTTCGATTCTCTCAACGATCAACTGGCGGCAAGTGATAGGAATGAGGTGATACTTGACTCTGCTGTTTCATGGTGTTTCTCACTTTAGCTCTGTTTTCGACTTTTCCAGGAAATATCTATTTTGGAAAAGCATCTTTTCTTTGCCTTCGTTTTTCTTTGCTCTAACTGGTCAACCTATTTTCCGTCATTTTGTCAAAACGAAATCGATAGAAAAACTTCACGCGGCAAACGTTTCGACGCTTGTGCGTTCTTCGGTGCGGGATTTATCCGAATTGATGGCCACAGTTAATCTTTCTTTTGATATGGGTCTTCGTGACCATGTCGAGTCGAATCCGCTTGATCACGGTATTATTGAAATAACCAGTAAACTCACTCAGCATTGTTCTTTTATAAAAGACGGTTGTTGAAACTGATTGGCCGTTGCTATCCGTTTGTTTTTTTCTGGACAAATCATTATGCAGCGATCGCTATCATCATCACCTAGCACGGAGTTTAGCATGTTTTAAAATATCAACGGATACCTTGCCAGTCTGGAAAAATTAGTGCTTTTTGACTGCTTTTTTAGTTCGAGTGGCACTTCACTATCCACATCATGAGGGCGGACGACTGTGGACCATCAACCGGTCTCAGAAAGGCGATGACGTCGAAAAATTAGCGGAATGTAGTCTACATAACACCTCGTTTGCGGCGAATTTCAATTCTTTTTATTTAAATTTTTGATTAAACATTTGCTTTTGAGTCTGGAGGATGGTTTCTTTTGAGTTTTGGCCGTCGCTTCTCTTCATAGCTTCCGATTTTTTTACTTATTAAATTGTAGCCTAAGTATTGAGAGAGTTTTTCCATTGAGCATCATTTCCGTCTCACACTGGCAATATTGTAAGCGGGTCCTCTTTTTGAGATTTTACTTATATCTCCTGGTGACTTATAGTAGGTCATTTTTTATCTACATCGTCGGTGAAATGACTTTATTGGTATAAGTAAGACTGGTTTGCCACCTATACGGCATCTCTCTAATTACCTTAGATTGATTGCCATAGTGAAAATGTTGACACTGCTTAAAAGAGTGCACGTTTACTACGAAAGTGTTATCAGTTGTTAACTGGTGTTCCAAAAATGCGTTCGTGCAGCCAGCACGAAGTACTTCGTTTTGACATGTGATGCCCCGTGCTGTTGGTTTACCGTCTCATATGGCCTGAAAGAATGCAGTGACAGTGGTAACATTTCAACGATTTTTGTTGCTCACGTAAGTAAGTTTGTGAATCAGGTGATTGATACGTTAAACAGCGCTAATCAACGCTAACGCCCATTTACATCAACTGCACCGCATTCAGCGGTTGTGCTGTTTGTCAGTATTGCAATTTCGCTGCTCCCTGCCATGCTTCATGTTTTACAACGAACTGTCTTTGACGAATTATCAGTTAAAACTTCTATTGATCAGATAGTTTTCTAGAAATGGTTACACTCACAGAACTCATTGCTTCGTTTCACCATGTCTTCGCCGAAGAACATGTTGACGTGAACGAAGTGATTATGCTGATGGAGTCGTACAAAAGTAACCCAGCTGACTGGAGACAGTATGCTGTCTTTGATGAGCACAAGTGAGAAGTTTTTAAAACAGAATATTTTGCTATAAATTGTCCGATTCTAATCCTAGATACACACGAAATCTGGTGGACATTGGTAATGGAAAATATAATCTCATGGTGCTTTGTTGGGGACCAGGTATGGGAAGCAGGTTAGAAAAGCAAATTATTCTAATGTATAATTGTATCTCCACGTTCATACTTATATTTTTGCGATTTAGTATTCATGATCACGCAAACGCTCACTGTTTCGTGAAGATTCTTGAAGGCGTCTTGTTAGAAACGAAATATGCTTGGCCTGATGACGACAATAAGAAGGCTCCTTTGAGAAAGCTGGACCAAAGCCGTTTTGAAGAGAACAGTGTTTCCTACATGAGCGGTAGGTTGTAAAGTGTTACTTCACCTACTTTTATTTTGGTGGTTCCACATGACATGAGCATCTAAGTCTGATTAATGGCGAAGCTGTAGGACTTGTAATGCATTTTATAACACTATGTCCCTGTGTTGTGCCTTGAGCCTTGCTTTCTGATGTAGCCGAAGGTATGGCAAAGCTTTCGTGTCGTTTTACACTTCATTGTAACGTCACCATTAATCTGTGAAACGACAGGTCTTATAAGCTTAAATGACAATGAAACTTTTTGATTGCCTTGTTTTGCCAACAATGTTTAGAATTACACTTCGACTAGAGGTCAAAAATGTTGTCGGAAGCGCTAAACAAGGTGAATATTGAATATAATGAATACGAATTCCTGTGAAGAAAAACGAAAAAAAAGGCTCACTAGCTACAGACCAACAGAATTTCGTTGTTGTGTTGTGACAAAACATGGATCATGGACCCAAAGACTGAAAATGACGTTTATTCCGACTGTCAACACTCTTTCACTCACTTTCGAGGCAGCACTGCTCATTCAACCATTTCTTCCAGACAAGCTCGGCCTTCATCGTATAGAAAATCCAAGTCACTCTGATGGAGCTGTTTCACTTCATCTGTATATTCCACCTTACGACGCATGCAATGCATTTGATGAGGTCGGTTCGTTATTGAAATTATTATTCTAGATTATAGTATGGAGCGTTCGAATGTTAGTGAACTGCTGAAATTTGCAACAGCGTTAGCTCAGTTGCTATTAAACACTAAGAGTTTATAAATTCGTCGTTTTCTCTCTCAGCATTTATAATCCAATGCCGAGGTTAATAGAAAGTTGATCCTGGGAACCAAGAGTTTATTTTAAAGTCTACAGACGACTACTAGCATCGATAACAAGAGTAGTTCATCAAATCTCAACATGTTCTATTAAAGCGAACTGGAAAGAAGACGAGGTGCCATGTGACATTCTTTACAAAGTATGGAGCTAAAGTCGACTATAATGGAAGCAAGAGTGGTGGTCTCGTCAATTATGGTGACACCGTCGTAAATAGATGGTCTGAGGCGAAAAATTAACCAACGCTGAATTCACACTTTTTTTTCCAACAACATACAAGAATTGTGCAAAATCTTGCTGACACTGTATTTGATTCCGTTGCAGATTTCTTCTCTATCGTCGATTCATTTGATTTTCTCACGAACTATGGTTTTGTGCTGTAGAATAAATATTCTATACAGGAATGAAACCCCAGTAGAGTGAAAGAACGTGGTTTTTCTCTCCTATACTTGATCTTGAATATTCATACGATTGCAATAATCTTGACACACTTCACATTAACTTCGAGATCTTCATCATACTGGTTTAATGCTCCTTGGAGACCTACGTGTAAAACTTCGTTTGGTGGTCGTTTTCAACGGCGACGAAATAGAGTCAGATCGAGAGAACACGTTCTACATGTCAAGCGTCGTAAAGTAACGAGCGGCGTCGATAAATATTGATAAGACGTTTTGACGACTAGAAAACTAATAGGTTCTCGAAACAATAACTTCCACTTTTAATAAAAATCGCTAAAATTTACTCATACTTAGCGGAAAATATAAATATTCTTTCATGAAGAAATTCTAGAATTTTGAAGTGTCTTTTGCGCATCTTCAGCAGCAGTAGTTTTCATTATTTAGTCATTATTAGTGATTTTCTCAGCAGTTATTATGAATGTGGAGGCACTTGAAAAAGAGGTAGTTCGTCAGCGAGAACTCTGAAGAATAAGCTGAGTGAGAATGGGCTACGTTTCCCGTTTGCTTCAACTTTTCCTGTGTTATTTCTATGACGTAAGGTTGAACGTTGTCGTGCCATAGGAAATAGCTCGTCAGTCATAGACACTGCAGTTATTGGTGCAGTTTTCTGATTTATTGACAGTAGTTATCCACTTAGTTGGTTTATTCAAGATTCAACAAATTACAGCACATAGTTCCATCTGTTGAGGAAGAAGAGCCATTAAATGTGCTATCTAGGTCAGAAATTCCATTAGATGCGAACTGAGTTTCAGGAAGTGTTTCTCTGTTTCGTCTTTCGTCGATGTTGTGCACAATGTCCTTGGCTGCCGTTTAAAGAATAGTTTTTATAACGGTTGCCATTTCCGTTCCAGTTCGATTGGTAACATATCGGTTTATCGAGTTATTTTTGCTATTTAATTTTGTAAAGGTTTTCGGAAATTGTTCGCTTACATATGAAAAACTTGTTCTTCCAAAATCTCTGGACCGTTTTTTAATTCATCGTTGTCAGTGTTAGTTCGTTATAAGGACGTCACGCTCCTGATTTTCAAGGTTCTCATTTTAACCATTAAATCTGTGAAGACGAGGTTGCGCAGTTCGATAACTAGCGGTTTCCTGGCCTAATGCATTATTAATCCTGTGAAGAGTTTGTACGAATTGTGAAAGTTCGGATTGGTGCAGAAAATATTGCACAAATTCGCTTTTTCTTTTTCCGTTCTTGTTCCACTGCCCAAATTGAGCACAAACTAATACGAAAGTAATTTTAACATTGAACAAAATCTCGTTCAAAGCTTCGTGCGCACTGCTCAAAATTTTCTGAAACGTGCACGAAATATTTGTGTTGCGCTTTATTGACGAATGATGCGGCGATGTTGGTTGATAGAAACACTGACTGCGGCAGTGTACGAATGCCAGATAAGAGGTACTGACATAAGTGTCGTCTTCTAACGAAAAAAGAATGTACGAAAATGCTGGAACAGTTCAGCTGTCTGCAAAAGCATTCAGGCAGGATATTTTATGAGTGGAATTTTCAGTATATTTGACTGGAAATGTGATATTTCTCACGGCAGTTCTCTATTTTTAGCACTACAGTAAGGGAATGGACGCGTGTGGCGGAGTGGTTGGGGGCGTCCTGCAATACACGCGTGGAATCGGTCCCCTCGCCCATGACCCACCAAGCATTCTCCTTCCGGGGTCGCCAACTTGGCACCAGAGTTGTCTGGGAGGATAGCAATACTGGCTCGATACATCGGTAGGCCACAGCGAGTCATTGTAAAGGCCAGATATGCATTCAATTACCTTCAACGATACTTAGTGAAGTCAAATGCATGGCGCATCTCTCAGGAATTGATCATTGCCGAGAGCTTTATCCTTTATCCTTTTTGCAGTGGGGGAAAAGATTTTGAGATTTCCAAGAAAAAAAAATTGAAAAGCGCACTATTTTAATGCTGAATGATTGTTGTCAACAGTAGCGCAGTACATTTGCTGGGCATAACAAACTGCAGTGAAATGCAGTATTTTTAATGAATGCTTCTTGTATACATCGAGAACATAAAGCATTTCGTAACAAGTTGTAATAAATGCCTGTACTCCATCGTTCGTAGGAGTGTTTAGGGAATTCGGTACATCAAAAAGTAAGTGGATGGCAATGTTCGATTCCGTGCATAGTTTCAATAACGCGACTACTTTACTCCTCTGTAAATTACATTTGATCTCAAGGAACAGTTGTCGACATTCATTGCAGTTTGCTAATATTATAAACCCTACGACGAAATGTGGGCGCATGTGGCGCAGTGGTAGGAGGTAGCCTGCAACACACACGTGGAATCGATCTCTGCGCCCATGGCGCACCAAGCCTTTCATCCCTCCGGGAGTCAGCAAATTAGTACCAGACTCGTCTGGGAGGTTAACAGCACTGGCTCGACACATCGTTGGGGCACCGCGAGTCATTGTAAAGGCCAGATATACATTCATTCACCTCCAACAGATGCCTTATGAAGTCGAATGCATGGCGCGTCCCTAAAGGGATTGATCAACGCCGACAGCTTCACCTTGTCCTTTTTTATTATATACGACGAAATAAAATATTATAACTTCCACATTTAAATAGGAAATACGTATAGAGAACTTCTCTCTTGAAAAGTTCTCTATCTATCTAAATAACAGTACTTGAAACCCAAATATGGCCGCCTCGCTGACGCACATCAAACACCGCAATGTAACCTTTGTAATCTTCTCGATCAATTATGTACAGAGTGTTTCAGGCACAATAGCGATTCAGGTTTGACTTCAGTAGCATAGCGACGATGGCTATTCGAAGGAGGCGTAACAGTGGAACAGTTTACTACTTCCTCGCGAAACAACGAAGCTAATGACGCTTGATGTTTCAGGCAGTTAGGTACAGTCTACTGCGGTCCAGGATCAACAATCCAGATTAACCGCGGTTGCATACGCACGCGGCTCCCGCAGCCGATGTAAGCAAGGTGCCTTCGAAGGCGGAGACATGCCATCACTCACCTTGCTCCCGATCGGTAGCGTGGATAATCCGCTCCTCACAACCACATCCTCAATCATCCTTAATCACCTCATCTCATTCTTAGTCATACTCATTCATTCTTATTCAGTCACATTCATTCACACATCCATATTCATCCTTCAGTAATCAGCAGATTATTGTATCTTGTTTCTCAGCTTGTCTACGGTGCGATGTCAGTAGTGGCGGGTGTTACCAAATGCGTTCTGTTTGCAACGCCATCGGTGGCATGTACCATTCCTCCCACAATGTACACGCAATGTGTATAATGCCGCTAAGCGGCCAACTTATGCTATGTATTCTGCTAAACCGCTATAGGCTCATCAGTTTTGTAGCCATTTATCATACTGGCCCTTGACCCTTAGGCAATGGTGGCACCTATCGATGCTCAAAGTTCACGTTGCTGACATAGCGTTATTCACGACCAGCCGCCTGACTGTGTTCCGTAGATGACACCATTCACTGTCCATAGCACCGTCAACGATCATGTAACTTACAGTCCTCATCGATCCACTGAAATGCTCCTCATCGCTATAATGTTGAAATCTTAGCTTGGCCGAAACACGGCCAGTCTGTAACCCTCACCACCTCAGCATACTGTCTCCATCTCCGCGGCCTACAGTCTCCTCCCTCCGCCCCCAGCATACTGTCTCCCTCAGCCGCCGCGCCGGCCGCGAATAGACGCGGCGCAGCATCGCTTACGGCTAAGCAAAGGCTACTTCGTTGTAGTCTCATTATTGTTGTTAATATTGTATTAATGGCATAATAATGTTTGAATGCCATTGCCTCATTGTTAGCCTCACTTCACTACAGGCCTTAGCACCTCAGAGCTCTAACTTGTGTCATTCTTCTACCATTACTTCTTTATCGTTACTATCATGTTATTAGTGTTGTATTTATGTATTAAAGGTTTAATTACCCAAGTTTGAGGCTGGTAGATCAACTACAACAACTAAAAGACCCGCGTAGCTAATATTCCACATCAATCTGAACCGCTACACTTCGACGCCAACCATTTCGTTACAATACGATTTGTCATTCTTTGAGTTTGAATTTAGCACGATGTTGCATTAAAGGTGGTTATTGTTCTCACATTCACACCACAGAACGTTTTAGAAAAAGTCTCGCCAATGCGACCTCTAAATAAGCGAACATTGTGAATTAAAGAAAGAAATCCGTCCGTCAGATGGGAAAAAATGCCTGTACATAGCATGTTTCTTGGTAATCTATTTGCCAGAACACTCGAGTGACCTGATTTCAGCCTTAAGGTCACAAGCACGACTTCGATTTTTATCTACAATTTACTCGTGGAGTAAGGAATTTTTCTACCATTGCAATCACATGAAAACTGCTTCATGGGAATCGCGCGCCTGGTTTGTTAGGAAATAC